AACCAATTTACATTTCCACCAAAAGTATACAAGTTTCCCTCTTTTTCACATCCTCACCAACACTTGTTACTATTTGTCTTTTTGATTATAGCCATGCTAACAGGTGTGAGGTGATCTTGAATTTTGGTTTTGATTTGTATTTACCTGTTTAATTAGTAATGTTGAGTATTTTTCATGTACCTATTGGCCATTTGTATGTCTTCTTTGGAAAAAATTCAATTCCTCTACTAATTTTAAATTAAATCACACCTAACAAATTGTTTTTTTTGTTGCTGTTTTTGAGTCAGATGAGTTTTTATATATTTTGGATATTAACGCCTTATCAGATATGTTTTTGCAAATATTTTCTGCCATTCCATAGGTTGCCTTTCAGGTTTTTATAAATTATTTCTTTTGTGGTGCATAAAATTTTTAGTTTGATGTAGTACCAATTATTGGTTTTTGCTTTAGTTGCTTGTGTTTTTGGTGTTATCTAAAAAATCATTGCAAAAGCCAATGTAAAGGAACTTCTTCCCTGTGTTTTCTTTTAAGAGTTTTTATGGTATGAGGTCTTATGTTTAATCATTTTTAAGTTATTTTTTAATTTCTTTATTGATTAAGGTATTACATATGTGTCCTATCTCCCCATTACTCCCCAACCCCCCCACTCATGCCCTCACCCCCCTGTTGTCTCTGTTCATTGGTTAGGCTTATATGTATGCATTCAAGTCCTTTGGTTGATCTCTCCCCCTTACCCCCACCCTCCCCTACCTTCCCTCTAAGGTTTGATGGTCTGATCAATGTTTCTCTGTCTCTGGATCTGTTTTTATTCATCAGTTTATGTTGTTCATTATATTCCATAAATGAGTATGAGATCATATGATATTTATCTTTCTCAGACTGGCTTATTTCACTTAGCATAATGCTCTCCAGTTTCATTCATGCTGTTGCAAATTTTTATGTGTAAGATAGGGATCTAATTTTATTGCTTTGCATGTGACTATCTGTGGGGAAGCACTGGACTTGGTTGGGATGTCTGTAAGGAGGATTATCTGAAAGGTTGGGGCCTCTGAGGGGATCTTGCTGAAGGTGGCAGTCCCTACCTTGACTTTTTCAAACAAGTCTGATCCCCCAGGGTGTTTGCTAAAATATCCATGTTTAGTCTTTAAAGACTGACCTTGTAGAAACATGCGCTTTCTCAAGGATGCTTACCTTGCTGAATATATTTAGAGGTTAATTTTAGTTCAAACTGTAATGCCAATAAAAGTCAAAGAGGCAGGTGAATGGGGCAACTTGGGTGTGATAGCCAAGTAGTGCCTTAGCCCTTTCTTTCAGAGAAACATGTGTTAGAGTAATCATTCATCCATCATTCAGAGTCTGCCAGTCAGTCCCAGCAGCTCTCTTATTTTCCCAACACCATTTATTGAATAGTTGAAGACATTTTTCTTTCCTCATTGAGTTCTTTACTCACTTATCAAATATTAATTGACCATAAATGCAGGAATTTATTTATGAGCTCTCTATTCTGTTCCATTGGTGTCTGTGCCTATTTTAATGGCCATACCATACTATTTAATTACTATACCTTTGCAGTATAATTTGAAATTAGGAAATGTGGTGCTTTCAGCTTTGTTTTTATTTTCCACGATTGCTTTGGTTATTTGAGGTATTTGTGGTTCCATACAAATTTTAGGATTTTTTTTTTGCATTTCTTTTTAAAATTTCATTGGAATTTTGAAAGGGATTCCAATGAATCAATAGATGGCTTTGGATAATATGGACATTTTAACAATATTAATTCTTCCAACTCATGAACATGGGATATCTTTCCATTTGTTCATGTCTTCAATGTCTTTCATCAAAATATAGTTTTCATTGTACAGATCTTTCACTTCCGTGGTTAAATTTAGTCTTAAGTGAGGAGAAACCAAGATGGCGGCATAGGGTAGACACCTGAATGCAGCCTACCACAACAATTTTGAATTTAGAACTGGAAAATGGGATATATTGCCCTAAAGCCCCGGACGGCCGGCTGAGAGGAGGCTCTACCATCTGGGAAGGAGAGAGAAGGCACGCTGAGCCTCAGGAACTGTGAAGGTGTGGAGAACTGTTCAAGCAAAAAGGCAGCCACAGAGTTCGCTGCTGGCTTACTCCCAGCATACAGAGAGAGTGGCCAAGTTCGCTGCTGGCTTACTCCAGGCGCACAGAGAGGGTGGATAGCTAATGCGCAGCTGGCTTTCTTGTTCAGGAGGAAAACAGAACCACCCTATTGTTCTGATAGATGGACCCAGTCAGAGAGAGGCCGGACTGTCAGGCAGCAGGCAGAGATCTCTCGGAGGTGTGTGAAGCCAGTGGCCATTACTGTGAGACTCAGGGAGGGGCTGACAGGAATCCAAAGCTTGTCTGCACCACCCTGAGACTCTGCCCCATCCAAGCTGAGCACAGAAGCCTTCCCGGAGGCTAGCTTTCTCTTTCACCATGAAAAGGACTTTACTAAAGCGGAACTGACAGGAATCCAAAGCTTGTCTGTGCCTATACCAAAGAGGTGCGCGTGCCTGCAACCAATCTTGCAGGACTCACCATGAATAGGACTTTCCTAAGGCGAGACTGACAGGGAAACAAAGCTTGTCTGCGCTACCCGGAGACTCCGCCCCATCCAATCAGAGTACAGAAGTCCCCCTAGCTGAGACACTGCTGATCCTCACAACCATTTGGCTTGGAGATAAACACTTCCCAGTGATACCAACAATAAGCAAGGCTTAACAACAAGACTGCACAAAAGCCCAAAAAGGGCTATACCAAGACTGTCCACCTCAGGTAACTAGGAAGGTTATGCTACTTGGCTCTATCAGAACACCTAGCACACAAAACTATTCCATCAAATCAGGGAAGCAGCAAAAATGCAAAGAGATGGAGGAAAATAAAAGAATGGACATTGAGTTCAAAACTACAGTTATAAGGTTTTTTAAGAATTTCCTAAAAAAGGCCGATAAAATAAATGAGACCTATGAGGATATGAAAAGGGATCAACTAGAAATAAAAAGGGATCAACTAGAAATAAAGAAAACAACATCTGAAATAAAAAATATTACATAAAGTCCTAAAAACAGATTGGAAGATTGCAAGAATCAAGACAAAGATTTGGAACACAAAGAGCCCGAGGACATTCCTCTGCAGAAGCAAGAATATAAGAGAATCCAGAAAGTTGAAGATAGTATAAGAAACCTTTGGGATGATAAAAGAACATTATAAACTGAAGAACCAAAAGATAGATATAGAAACAGTAAAGCAACAAGCAGACTTAAATTACAGTGGGGAGGTTGGGGAGATCAGGGGGAGATAAGAGATCAACTGAAGGACTTGTATACATGCATATAAGTACAACCAATGGACACAAAACTATGGGGAGGGAGGGTATGTATGGGAGGGGGGGCATTGGTATATGTACAAAAATAATAATTTAATAAAAAATATATATTAAAAAAAAAAGAAACCTCTGGGACAATGTCAAGTGAACCAACATCAGAATTATGGGAGTCCCGGAAGAAGAGAGAGAGCAAGATACCAAAAGCATATTGGAAAAAATAGTGACAGAAAACTTCCCCCACCTGGGGAAAGAAATAGACTTACAAGTCCAGGAAATGCACAGAACTCCAAACAAAAGGAATCCAAAGAAGACCACACCAAGACACATCATAATTAAAGTTCCAAGAGCAAAAGACAAAGAGAGAATATTAAAAGCAGTAAGAGAAAAGCAGGTAGTTACCTATAAAGGAGCACCAATACGATTGTCAGCTGATTTTAAAACAGAAACCATGCAGGCCAGACAGAAATGGCAAGAAATATTCAAGGTGATGAATAGCAAGAACCTACAGCCAAAAAAAACTCTACCCAGCAAAGCTTTCACTCAGAATCGAAGGCCAGATAAAGAGTTTCACAAATAAAAAAAACTAAAGGAGTTCATCACTGCCAAACCAGAATTATATGAATTGCTGAAGGGGGTTCTTTAGGAAGAGGAAGAAGATAAAGATAACAATTATGAACAACAAATATGTAACTATCAACAAGTGAAACTAAACACCATGGGAATTAAAAAATCTGATGAAAAATATTAACTGGTGAATATAATAGAATGAGAGTTATGGAAGGGGAGTGGACTGATGATTCTTGGGGAAAAGGGGAGTGGGGGTGCGGGAAGAGACTGAACAAAAACTGTGCACCTATGGATGAGGACAATGGGGGGTGGGGAAAGGGCCGAGGGTGGGATGGGAACCTGGTGGAGGGGAGCAATTGAGGGCAGGGGAGAGGGACACATTTGTAATAATCTGAACAGTAAAGATTTATTTTAAAAAATTTAGTCTTAAGTATTTGACTGAATTTGATGCTATTGTGAATGGGATGGTTTCTTTTTTATCTTTTTCAGATAGTTTGTTGTTAGTGTACAAAAACATCACTGATTTCTATATGCTGGTTTTATATCCTTCAAATTTTTGTGTTTATTTATTAGTTTTTTTGATTGTTGAGTCTTTAGGGTTTTCTCTATATAAGATTGTATCATTTGTAAATAATGACAGTTTTCCAAATCAGATGCATTTTATTTCTTTTTCTTGCATAATTGCTCTGGCTACAACTACTAGAACAATGTTGAGTAAGTCGTGAGAGTGGGCACCCTTTCCTTGTTCCTGATCTTAGAGAAGAAACTTTCAGTTTTTCACTGTTGAGTATAATGTTAGCTGTGGGTTTGTCAAATATGGTCTTTATTATATTGAGGTATATTTTTTCTATATTGAACTTATTGCAGAGTTTTATCATGAAAAATGGCTACAACCTTCATCTTAATTGTCTCTGGGTTAGTATGTAAGCAAAAGAACAACTCAGAGGCTTTTCAGAATAGATACTGTTATTATATTTTATGTTCTGAACATATTCAAAATTACATTGTGTGTTTTGATGTGATACTGAGTTATAGGGAGTAATATATGTAATATTGAAATTGACCTTTCCTTCTTTGTTCCTCACAGGCAGCCCTAGAAGCATTAGATGAACTGGATCTGTTCGGTGTGAAAGGTGGGCCCCAATCAGTTATTCATGTTCTTGCTGATGAAGTACAACACTGCCAGGTAAGAAAATAATAGACCACATTATAAATAATTTTATTCTTACTCAGATTCAGACTTAGTGTGGACTTTAGAATACAGAGACCTGATTGAGAATAGAAAATCTTATGTATTACTATGTGCCAAAAATATCAGACATTCTATCTATACTAATAAAAGCCTAGGTGGCCCTTGTGCCCTCGTGTGACGCCCTCATGTCATAACAAGATGGCCGTTCCTATGTTGTCACAAGATGGCCATCACAAGATGACCGCCACAAGATGGCCAGCAGGGGAGGGCAGTTGTGGGTGATCAGTGCAGCAGAGGAGGGCAGTTGGGGGTCATCAGGGCAGCAGGGGAGGGCAGTTTGTGGAAATTGGGCTGGCAGGGGAGGGCAGTTGGGATCAATCAGACCAGCAGGGGAGTGGTTAGGCATCAATCAGGCTAGAAAGGGAACAGTTATGGGGTGATCTGGCTGGCAGGCAGAAGCAGTTAGGGGCAATCTGGCAGGTAGGTAGGCGAGTGGTTAGGAATCGGTAGTCCAAGATTGTGAGAGGGATGTCTGACTGCTGGTTATAATTAGAAGATGAATTTGTATCTACTATAACACTATGGATTTCTAATCAGGGTTTGAATAAGAGAAGAAAAGTAATTTTGCCTATGAGAAGAACCTTAATTTTTCAATACAAAGAATAATATTAACCAAAACTAAACATATGCATTTATATTCAAGATCAGGCCTAAAACGGCAGTCAGACATTCCCTGAAGGGTCCCAGATTGGAGAGGGCACAGGCTAGGCTGAGGGACACCCCCAGTGCACAAATTTCATGCACTGGGCATCTAGTATTATAGTAAGCCTGATATAGCATTAGCTGTAACATAGATCATAGTTCTGTTCTCTCATGCACGGTTATAAAGGGATAACATCATAGTATATAGAATTTCTCACTATTGTCATATCAAATCTATGGACTGTGCTCCTGAGTATCTCCTTTTCCAAATATAGCAAGAGAGCAAGGCGGGTGACTTATGTTGAGTGTTGATAGTGGCTCTAAAATATTCCCTTGTTCCAGATTGGCTCTGGGTTAACTGTTTGGAGTTTACACTGTTTAAATACCGTATTTTCCAGCGTATAAGATGATCCCCTAATTTTACAGTTAAAACATAGGTTTAGGCCTATATTCGCTGTATAAGACTATCCCCCACTTCAAAGAAAAGACTTACTTTGCCGTCAAGATCTGCAGGTAATTTTTGTGCAATTTTGGTCTTTTGCCCCCGATTTTCGGTTGATTATTTTTCGTTTCAAAAGTCGTCTTATACGCGGAAAATACGGTAATGGGTAAGGAACCTTTTCTCTGCCAAAGGCCATTTGGATATTTTTAACATCATTCATGGGCCACACAAAATTATCAACTTAAAAATTAGTCTGCTATATTTGGTCAAACATTTAATTAAATCACTCCTAATACCTTGGCAGGGCCAGACCAAATGATTTCATGGACCTTATATGACCCATGGCCTAGATGTTTCCCCACCCCTGGTTTAAATGGTAAATGCATATACTTAGTTTTGGTTAGGATTACTCTTTGTATTAAAAATTAAGGTTCTTCTCATTGGCAAAATGATTTTTCTTCTCTTCTTCAAACCCTGATTAGACATCTGTAGTGTTATCCTGAATAATAAAGAGGTAGTGTGCAAATTGACCATCACTCCATCACACAAGATGGCCGCCTCCATGTGGGCACAAGATTGCTGCCACAAGATGGTCAGGAGGGGAGGGCAGTTGTGGGCTATCAGGCCTGCAGGTGAAGGCAGTTGAGGGGGACCAGGCCTGCAGGGGAGGGCAGTTGGAGGGAAGCAGGCCTGCAGGGGAGAGTAGTAAGGGGTGACCAGGCTGGCAGGGGAAGGCAGTTAGAAGTGACTGAGCCAGCAGGAGAGGCAGTTGTGGGCAAACAGGCATGTAGGGGAGTGCAGTTTGGAGGGACCAGCCATGCAGGGGAGGGCATTTGGGAGGGATAAGACCTTCAGGGGAGGGCAGTTGGAGGGACCAGCCAGGCCTGCAGTGGAGGGCAGTTGGGGAGACCACACCTACAGGGAAGGGCAGTTGGGGGCAACCAGGCCAGCAGGGGAGGGCAGTTTGTAAGGACTAGACCTGCAAGGGAGGGCAGTTGGGGGTGACCAAGCCAGCAAAGGAGAGCAGATGTGGGCTACCAGACATGTAGTGGAGGGCAGTTGGGGTTGACCGGGCCTGCAGGGGAAGACAGTTGGGGGATACCCAGGCCTGCAGTAGAGGGCAGTTGGGGAGGACCAGGCCTTCAGGGGGGGGGGGGCAGTTGAGGGGGACCAGACCTGCAGGGGATGGCAGTTAGTGGTGACTAGGTTGACGGGGAGAGCAATTTGTGGTGACCAGGTGGGCACGCAATGGAAGTTAAGAGTGATTGGGCCTGCAGGGGAGGGCAGTTAGGGGTGACCAGGCTGGCAAGAGAAAGAAATTAGGGGTGACCAGACCTGCAGAAGAGGGCAGTTAGAGTCAACCAGGCTGGCAAGGGAGGGTAGTTAGGGGTGACTGGGCCAGCAGGGGCGAGCAGGTATGGGTGACAAGGCCAGCAGGGGAGGGCAGTTAGACGTGATCAGGCCATCAGGAAAGGGCAGTTAAGGGGAATCTGGAAGGCAGGGGAGCAGTTAGGCATTGATCAGGCTGGAAGGGGTGTGGTTAAGGCCTAATCAGGATGGCAGGCAGAAATGGTTAGGGGCAATCAGGCAGGCAGCAAGTGGTTGGGAACCAGCAGACCTGGATTGAGAGGGATGTCCAACTGCCCGTTTGGCCCGATTCCACAGGGCAGTCCAACATCCCTCGAGGGGTTCCATATTGGTGAGCATTCAGGCTGAGCTGAAGCACACCTTCCTCCCTCCCCCCGTACACGAATTTAGTTAACTGGGTCTTTAGTAGTAAATATGAATTTATATTCTAATTATAAAAGTTTTCATGGAAAAGATAAATACCAAGGATATATGAGCTGAGTCTTCCATTTTCTGCTTTTTAGCAGCTACATTTTCTCTTATCTTTATGCGTAAATAGTTGCTAATTGAGCAACAGGATTGTGGGTGGGATAATGATGTTAAGAGTATTCATCCATTAGCAGCTGCTTAACAATCAGGATTGGAAAACATTGAGAGCAGTATTGAAACAAGGGATAATGTACAGAAATAGCTAGTTTTTAAAGCTCTCACTATTGAATGATGTTTAGTTTTTCTTCTGAATGTTGCTCTTCTACATAAATCTTTGGAAATTAAATTTGTAAGTTTTACAAACGTGAATTATTCATTAATGTGCCACATTTGATTTTCTTTCTCTTAGTCTATCCTTAATTCAATACTTCCCCGGGCTTCAACATCCAAAGAGGTTGACGCTAGTCTACTTTCAGTTGTATCCTTCCCAGCCTTTGCAGTAGAAGATAATCAGTTGGTGGAGGTCACAAAACAGGAAATCATCACCAAACTTCAGGTATGTGTACATGTGCCTTTCTTACCTTTAGGATTCTTACTTTAAAGGGAAATTATCTTTTTAGGCCTTCATTATGATCCGAGTCTGTGATTTAACCAAGTAATCAGGGTTAATATCACCAGAAATAAGGTGTATTGACATCATGCACTCTCAATATAGTGCAATGAGAAGTGCATAGCACCTCTGTGACATCCTTCTGAATAATGCATAACCTCAGTATAATCATGGGAAGACAACAGACAAAAATCAAATTGAGGGGCATTCTTTTTGTTTTGTTTTTATTATAATGAGCTATTTTATTTTATTTTTATGTATTTATTTTTATTTTATTTCCATTTTTTATTAAGATATTATATATGTACATATCTTCCCATTGGCCCTACTCTACCCCACTCTCATACATGTCCCCACCCCCAGTGTCTTGCATCCATTGGTTATGCTTATATGCATGCATACAATTCCTTCAGGTGATCTCTTATCTCCCCCACCTCTCCCTAATTTTCCCGCTATAATTTGATAGCCTATTTGATGCTTTACTGACACTGTATCTATCTTTTTGTTCATCAGTTTATAGTGTTTTTATTATCCACAAGATATTTACATTATGATTCATAACAGTAGCAAAATTAAAGTTAGGAAGTAGCAACGCAAACAATTTTATGGTTGGGGGTCACCACAACATGAGGAACTGTATTAAAGGGTCCTGGGATTAGAAAGGTTGAGAACCACTCATATACAAGATGATGCTATAAGTAAATGAACCATCCAGCCAGGTAGAGTTGTATGAGGTCTTTATAAATTTTAACTCTTAACCTCTTATCAGATATAACATTGGGAGATATGTTCTCTCACTAAGTGGTTGATGGTTTTCTTCACTGTAGAAAACATTTTCAATTTGATGTAGTTTATTTTTGTTGTTGTTTCCCTTGCCTGAGGAAGCATATCAGAAAAAAAATTCATGGGAGAAATGTCTGATATTTTACTGCCTAGGATTTCTTCTAGGAGTTTTGTGATTTCAAATTTATGTAGTCTTAAATCCATTTTGAGTTTATTCTAGTATATCATGTGAGAAGATGGGTCTAATTTCATTTTTTGCATGTAACTTTCCAATTTTCCCAACACAATTTATTGAATACTAGTGGCCCTGCATGAGTAGCTCACTGCTGCTTGCCTCATCTGGCTGCCCCGCCCATGGCAGCTTGAAGTTCTCTGCCTCACATAGCTCGCTGCCCTGCTCGTTGTTATGTGATGGTGTCCTGATCAATTTTCATATTACCCTATTGTAAGTATAGATACTGTCTTTACCCCACTGTATGTTCTTGCCTCCTTTGTAAAACATTAATTGCCCATATAGGTGGGTTTATTTCTGAGCTCTATATTCTGTTTCATTGATCTATATGTCTGTGTTAAAGGTGATTACCAAAATCTTGACATCAGGTAATGTGATAACTCCAACTTTGCTCCTTTTCAAGATTGCTGTAGCTTTTAGGCGTCTTTTGTGGTTCCATATCAATTTTTGGATTATTTGTTCTACATCTGTGAAGTATGCCACTGGTATTTTGATGGGAATTGCATTGACTCTATAGGCTGCTTTGGGCAGTATGGACATTTTAACAATGTTAATTCTTTCTATTCATGAGTTACCATTTATTTGTATCTTCTTCAATTTCTTCCTTCACTGCCTTATAATTTTCTGAGTTCAGGTCTTTTACCTATTATACTTGGTTAAAGTTATTTCTAGGTATCTTTTTTATGCATTTATAAATGGGATTGTTTTCTTAGTTTTGCTTTCTGATAGTTTACTATTAGTGTATATGAAAGCAATGTTTATTTTGTATCCTGCTACTTTATTGAATTTATCAGTAGTTTTTTTGTGGATTTTTAGGCTTTTTTAAATATACAGTATCATGTCATATGCAAATAATGAACATTTTACTTCTTCCTTTCAAATTTGGATACCTTTTATTTTCTCTTGTATGATTGCTGTGGGTAGGACTTCAGTATTATTTTGTATAAGGGTGGCAAAAGTGGACCTCTCTGTATTGTTATCCAAAGTGGAACACTTTTAGTTTTTCCCTATTGAGTATGATCATAGCTATGGGGTTGTCATATTTATTCTTTATTATGTTATGTTCCCTCTGTTCCTATTTTGCTAAGAATTTTTATTATAAGTAAGTGCTGGATATTTGCTTTTTCTGCAACTATCTCTATGATCATATGATTTTATCCATCATTTTGATATGTGGTATATCACATTTATTTATTTGCTCAAATTTTACCAACCTTGTGTCCACTGAATAAATCCCACTTGATCATGGTGTATGAACTTTTTCATGTACTAGTATTGCTGGCTTTGGTTTACTAATATTTTGTTGCGGATTTCTTCATCATGTTCATCAGTGATATTGACATATAAATTTTTTTATTTATCTTGTCTTTATTTAGTTTGGAATCAGGATAATGCTTGCTTTGTAAAACGAGCTTGGAAGTATTCTCTCTTGAATTTTGGGAATAGTTTGAGGATAGGTGGTAGTACTTCTTTCAATGTTTGGTAAAATTCACCTGTAAAGCCATTTAGTCAAGGATTTTAGTTTATTGGAAGTTTTTGATTACTTCTTTAATTTCGTTAGTTATAATTGGTCTGTTCAGATTTTCTTTTTCTTTCTTTTTAATTCAGTTTGGAACATTGAATGTTTCTAAGAATTTATCCAGATTGTTCAAATTATTGGCATATAGTTGTTCTTAAGATTTTCTTACAATACTTTGTATTTCTGTGGAGTGAGTTACTTCTACTTTTTCATTTCGATTTTTTTTTATTTGGGTCCTCTCTCTCTCTCTCTCTCTCTCTCTCTCTCTCTCTCTCTCTCTCTCTCTCTCTCTCTCTCTCTCTCTCTCTTTTTCTTGATGAGTTTAGTTAAAGGTTTGTCAGTCTTGTTTTTTGTTTCTTTTTTTAGGTGTATTTTATTTTAATGTACATTTATTGTTGAGAGTATTATATTTCCCCCATTGAAACCCTCCACACCACAGCCTCCTCAGGCCTTCACTACACTATTGTCTGTGTCCATGGGTTATGCATATATGCATAGAAGTTCCCCAGGTTAACCCTTCTCCACCCACACATCTTCCCCCACCTCTTCTCTGAGATTTCTCAGTCTATTCTATGCTTCTCTGTCCCTGGATTTATTGTGTTCAACAGTTTATTTTGTTCATTAAATTCCAAATATGAGTAAGATCATGTGATAGTTGTCTTTCTCTGCCTCGATGATTTCACTTACCATAATACTTTCCAGGTCCCTCCATGCTGTCTCAAAAGGGTAAGAGATCCTTCTTTTTTTCCTTGGTGTAAATGTACCACAGATTTTTTTATCCACTTATCTACTGATTAGCACTTGGGCTATTTCCAGATCTTACCTATTCTAAGTTGTGCTGCTATGAATCAGGGGTGCATATATTTTTTTCTGATTGGTGTTTCGGGTTTCTGAGGATATATTCCTAGAGTTGGATCATTGTGTCAAATGGCAGTTCCATATTTAGTGTTTTGGGGACCCTCCATAATGTTTTCCACAGTGGCTGCATAGTTTGCATTCCCACCAGTGGTGTACTAGGGTTCCCATTTCTCCACATCTTTACCAGCACTAGTCATTTATTGATTTGTTGATGGTAGCCATTCTGACAGGTGTGAGGTAATATCTAATTTTCATTTCAATTCCCATCTCTCTGATGATTAGGGACATTGAACACTTTTTCGTATGTCTGTTTGCCATCTGTATGTCCTCTTTGGAGAGGTGTCTACTTAGGTTCTTTGCCCATTTTTTAAATTGAATTGTTTGTCTTCTATTTGTTAAGTTGTATGAGTTCCTTATATATTTTGGAAATTGACCCCTTATCAGATCTATGTTCTCCCATAATGTGGGCTTCCTTTTTATTTTGTTGATGGTTTCCTTTGCTGTGCAGGAGGTTTTTATTTGATATATTCTTCCTTGTTGATTTCCTCCTTAGTTTCCCTTGCCCTAAAAGATTTATCAGAAAACATATTGCTACTAGAGATGTCCGAAATTTTGCTACTTCTAGTTTCTTCTAAAGTTTTTATGGTTTCACAACTTAGATTTAAATCTTTTATCAATTTTGAAGTTATTCTTGTATATGGTGTAAGTTGCTGTTCTAGTTTCATTTTTTTTTTGCATATATCTGTACAATTTTCAGAACACCATTTAGTGAAGAGACTGCCTTGACTCCATTGTATTCTCTTTCCTGTTTTGTCAAATATTAATTGAACATAATGTTTAGGTTTATTTCAGGTTCTCTGTTCTGTTCCATTGATCTATATTCCTTTTCTTGTGCCAGTACCAGGCTCTTTTGAGTACTGGCTTTGCAGTATAACTTGATATCTGGTATTGTATCCCTTCAACTTTGTTCTTCTTTCTCAAGATGGCTGTGGCCCTTTGGGGGTCTTTTTTTGGTTCCATATACATTTTTCACATGTTTGTTCTAGATCTGTGAAATATGCCATAAGTACCTTAATAGGGATTGCAATGAATCTATAGGTTGCTTTGAGTAGTATGGATATTTTAATGGTGTTTATACTATGAATCTATGAGCAAGATATATTCTACTTGTTTATATATTTCTCTGTATCTCTTTTTCAACGTCCTGTAGATTTCTGAGTGCAGGTCTTTTACCTCCTTGGCTAAATTTATTCCTAAGTATCATAATTTTTTTTGTTTCAATGGTAAATGGGATTGTTTGTTTAGTTTCTCTTTTTAAGAGTTCATTGTTGCTGTATAAAAATGCCATAGATTTCTGGGTGTTAATTTTGTATTCTGCTATGTTGCCAAATTCATTTATTAAATCGAGTATTTTCTTTGTTGGATACTTTAGGGTTTTCTATGTACAATATCATGACATCTGGAAATAATGATAGTTTTACTTTCTACTTTTCAATTTGGATGCCTTTACTTTTTCTTCTTGTCCAATTCCTGTGGCTAGGACTTCCAGTACTA